CTAAACCCTAAACCCTAGGCTCACGTCCTCCAAGTCAGGAGCCGGTGGCGTTTGGGGACGAAACCTGCACAATGAGTCACAAACCCTAAACCCTAAACCCTAAACCCTAAACCCTAAACCTTGGTAATAAACTCAGCAGATTCGGTGGTGCCGCACCCTCGCCAGAGCGGCAACAGCAGCCGCAGCAGCAGCAGGAAACAGCAGCAGGAAGCAGCAGCAGGAAGCAGCAGCAGCAGCAGGAAACAGCAGCAGGAAGCAGCATCAGCAGCAAAGAGAACAGCAGCAGCAGCAGCAAAACCACCACTGGCAGCAGCGGCAATGCAAAAAGAAAAGCAGATAATCTCTAGAAGAAACTGCAACAGCAGCAACAGCAGCAGCAGCAACAGCAGCAGCAGCAACAGCAGCAGCAGCAACAGCAGCAACAGCAACAGCAATAGCAGCAACGGCAGCAGCTGCAACAGCAGCAGAGGCAGCAACAGCAGCAGCAGCAAATGCAGGGGCAGCAGCAGCAGATTCACCTGGCCACCTCGATGTCCGTATACTTCAAAAGGATATCTGCAGCAGCAGCAGCAACAGCAGCAGCAGCAGCAGCAGCAAATATGGAATGAAGAAGCAGCAGGCGAGCCAGCTGCAGCAGCAGCTGGCTGCTGCTGCTGCTGGGAAGCAGCAGCAGCAGCAGCAGCAAATAAAGGGAAAAGGTGTCTATACACCGCAGCAGGGCCCCACACCTGCTGCATCATTTGCTGCGTCTTTCCGCAAAATGGATTCCCAGGGGCTTTGCTGCTGCTGCTGCTGCTGCTGCTGCTGCAGCAGCAGCTCATTGCCTTCAGTTGCAGTCCCCCCCAAGTCTGCTGCTGCTGCTGCTGCTGCTGCTTCTGGGGTTTCAATGATTTGGTCTAAAAAGCTGCCCCACTGCGCAGCAGCAGCAGCAGCAGCAGCAGCAGCAGTTGAGTTGCTGCCTCCTCTGCTGCTGCTGCTGCTGCTGCCGGCTTCATTACTCAAATCCAAATCAATAAAAGAACCTCCAGATTCTGAAGAGCTCCCTGAGCTGCTGGAGTGTACATACACCCCACCTTCCCTCCCATTTTCCCGGGGGCCCCCCTCAGGGGGCCCCCCTGGGGGCCCCCCGGGGGGCCCCCCCGGGGGCCCCTTTGGGTCTGCAGCAAAGCGGAATTCCTTTTTGCTGCTGCTGCTGCTGCAGCTGCTGATGAGGAATTGCTGCGAGCGGGGGGAGGAGAGGAGAGAAGCTGAGGGGGAAATGTCGGAGGGGCGGGGCGAGTTTGCTGCTGACGCGGCCTGCTGCTGCTGCTGCTGCTGCTGCTGCTGCTGCTGCTGCTGCTGCTGCTGCTGCTTGCTTTGGTGCAGCATGTGGGCTATGCTCTTCCGGATTTTGGAAACGGAAATGTCCATTAAGCCCCTTTCCCCGCTTTGCTTCTTCTGGCCCAAAGAAGAGCCAGATTTATTATTTTGCATTTTTGAAATAAAGAAAAGAAACTTCGAAACGCAAAGGCTGGGGTGTACGTACACCTGGGGTGTACGTACACCTGGGGTGTACGTACACCGCAAGTTCCGCGCCGCAAGCGCTGCGCCGTCTGCGCGGCTCGACTTGCGGCAAAAGAGGCCGCGAAAGCGTCGAATTGAGTTTAAATTGAATTTAAATTGAATTAAATTGAATTAAATTGAATTAAATTGACTTAAAATGAAAATTAAACAAATTAAAAACGCATTTGGTCCATTTAAACGCGAGTTTTCCCTTTTCCCGAACGCGCGGCGGCCGCGCAGCTAGCCGCCAGCCTCCGACTCCGCTGCAGCTGCGGCGCGCCGCTGCGCCCCCAGTCTTCTTTTAATGTTTTAATTTAAATAAAAAATTTAAATAAAAAAATAAAAATAAAAAAATAAAATTCAAAAGATTTCAACTCAGCGAAAGAACGCAGCAAAAGGGCCGCGGCGGCGCGCCGCGCGCAAACAAGACCCGCGGCGGCTGGGGGGCCCCCCAGACATCCACGGGGCCCCCGGGGCCCCCGGGGCCCCCCTTTGGGGCTTTTTGCTGGGAAAAAGCAGCAAAAGAAGTTTGAAATGATAAATTGGTTTTATTTGTTGGAAAAAATAAACAAATTTGAGGGTTTTTGGGGGCAGATCGGCAGCAGCAGCGAAGACCGCGAGCTCGCGGCCTGGCTAGGCAGCAGGCGCATGCGGCGCGCGCTGCTGTGTCTGCGGCTTTTTGAATTCTGTTTATTTATTTAATTTAAATTATTTAATTTAATTTAAATTATTTAATTTAATTTATTTCTTTTATTCAATTCGCCGCTTCAATTGACTCCAGAGGCTCAAAATGCCGCCGCCCCAGCCCCCCTAGTTGCTGTCGGCCCCGCTGCTGCTGCTGCTGCTGCTGCTGCTGCTGCTGCTGCTGCTGCTGCTCGGGTATAATGCGAGGAAGGCCCACTGGCTCTGCTGCTTCGCCGCCACTCCCGTCGCTGCTGCTGCTGCTGCTGCTGCTGCT